GAAAATTCCGCTTGTTCTCGAAAGCTTCATAACTATATCATTGTTTAATAAATCGTCGGCCAAACTCAATACCCCGCGTTGATCTTTATCTTGTTAGTTAATTGGATTTCGCCAGGTAGGACTGACTGTTCCGGTCTGTTGAAAATTGATCTGTACAAACATTTTTCGACCGCAAATTTAAGTTACGAGCATCAATTCGTTAATTGTGTAATCGATTCATAATTGCTTCACGCTCGTATTTATTAGAATTAATCAATTTATTGAACTTTGCTGCTCGCTTCGCTAGCCACAAATTCGGTTTGGCAAATCTTTGAAGATGTAACGATGAAGAGGATGCTACAGTATACTCGCGAGACGCAAGCAGTGGACATGTTCTTCAGGATTACTCATGTGTCCTAAGTGATACTTGGCACTCAGGCGCGTGTCTTGTACGCTGGCTTCTGGCCGGGAACTTGGGGACAAACTTTCGCGAAATTCTCGTCTCAATGGACACTGACCATTAAAGCCACTTAGGGTACCAGGATCTCCCCTTAAGCTCGCCCGTCCGGGAGGATGTTTCGTCGGCCACGAAATATTCTCGAGCGTGGCATGGTAGCAAGCTTGTGCCGAGATTTTCGAGACGCCGAATAGTTCTCAAGTTTCCTTGAAAGCCATCGTTTTACGAGTTTCGTGACATTTTTACTTTTCCTTCACATATATTACCAGACACAGGATCTAGGTACGTAACTACGTACCTCAAGACGACCACTTGGACTCGCCATTGTTTCCATCAACGCGAGACTACGTGTCCTATTCTTCGTTTTCAAGAAAGTGAAGAAGGCGTTGGGAAAAAAAGTAAAACGCAAGTTTCTTATAAAAAAGAAATTGCGGAACGCGATGCGGGGAGAACGTACGTATCTCCTTCTCGCATCTTATCGCGGTTTTTGGTCGAGGCCAGGTCGAGTTTAGTCGAGTTTCCGGTAACTGGAAGACGGAAGAAGCACGCGAGCAAACTTCGCGGAAGTTTTCGTCCTAGGGATAGCTGACCGCGAAAGTCATTTACGGTACCAGAATGTTCTCTTAAGGCCCGTTGTCGTGAAATATCCGAGTGTTTTATATTTTACGAGCCGTACAAACTGCTGCTGGGAGTTTGCTCGAATTCGCGCCGCGGAACTTGATTCATATACCTACAAGTTCACTCCTCCTGCAAATTGTATAACAGTTTTACTGGATACTTTTGTTCGCAAATAATAACGCATAATGAGACATTCCTCGAGAACACGAGTTAGAAAGCACTTGTAAAAGTGAACTTTTGTAAGAAAGCTATAAATTGCATTGCGTTTGAAGTAATGAAATTGATATTGAATTTACTCATTAAAAACGAAACGTATAGCATACTCGTTGGAGCTGAATAAACACGCGCTTTTTACGCGGAGAGAAGAGAAAATAACATTTTTCTCTCTTCGTCCGCAGAGTAATTTTCTAAATCTCATGCATATGCAGGCGGCATCCGTTTTAAATGCCCCTTGTTAAGGTCGGTAAAATGCGGCACACGATAATTGTATTTCCGTAGAATTTTTATTACGCTCGACGACATGACAACGAGCCACCCGGACAGTAATTACACGTCGTACGCAGGTTTTTAGCTCGAAGCGGATGCTACGGCGGCAGAAGTTTCTGCTGGTACCTACATTGGCCGTCGGCTACGAACTTTGCAACAAACTTGCCCTCACGTTCTTTCCTTATACCTCCCCCTAGTTGACGTAGTTACTGACCGCCAGGGCCACTTATGATGCAACGACATCCCTTGGGAAAAGAAATTTGTTTAGCCGAAACTTTTAAACTCGAAGTCCTGGCGGTTTCCTCGTCGAAAATGTAACATTAATTTGCAAAATATTTTTATTATCGTCGAAATTGTTTATCACGTTCGTCCGCTTTTAATTACATTTTAGTCGTTGAATAAAATTAATAATCGTTAGTAGGGAGGTTCGAATAAATTAAGCTGCAAATAAGATGTGCTGCTTGATTAAAATAATTGAAAAATAAATCGGTTATCGTTTCACATTTCGTATTTGTTTATTGCAACTCTGATCAAGGACACAATCACCAAGAATAAGAGTAACAATAAGCAGGCGCTCGGTAAAACGTTTGATTTGCAGTGTTACAGTAATTCGCACAGTAATGATTCATCTGTCGGACGTGTCCATTTCTACACCAGCAGTATCTTGGTATCGTGTTAGACTTCAAGTAATATTGATTGCACGCATCACTGCGATTTGGGCGACTCTGCTGACAAGTATCTACCGAGCAAGGTTGTGAGTGCACTGTCTCCAACGAGGACCAACCATCGTTCAGCCCCGGGTTTCGATAAAGAGCACGGGCATCGCAACAACGAGCGGCTTCCTTCTCGCGTGCGCTAATGCGATTCACTTGGCATCTGCTCGTGCAGTTCATTTGAGACCTGCTCGTAGAACATTGCGGGTTACCTTGCACTACGCAGCGGCTGATTACCGGCTTTGCGCAATAGCCGTAGCACTTTATCTTCGAGTTGTTGTAGACACATTCGGTCGATAGAGCGGTGTAAATCATTCCGCAATCTCCCCTCTTTCTACGTCTGTCCAGCCACGTGCTTGAGTGGCAAGTCAACATCGTGCCAGTTTCAAACAAACCCGCGGTGAAGACCGGCCGCCGATGATCTCCGGTGTCGATGTGCTTCGACGCGTCTAATGTTACCTCAGAACCGACCGCCATATCTTCCATTCCTAACTGTTCCTCGGTCACTTCCTCTATCTCTGGTCCCTCTTCCTGTTCCTCTATCGCGGCCAAACTCGAACTGGGTTTTGGAGTTTTTGCCGGTACCGGAATCGCTGGTTCCATACTCGTACTATCACCCTGATCGTTCGGTTGCATACTGACGGCTGTCATGTCGTCCGTTTGCGCGGGTTCGGATATGATCAGATTCGGACAACCAGCGTTGCACTGTGGTGCCCCGCACTTGATCTTCATCTGAGCGTATTTCAAACACGAGGGATAGGATGCAGCCAATCGACGTCCCGGTGGACTCCCTTCTCTCACGGCCTTCTGCCTTTTCTCGGTTTTCCCCGGGCAAATCACCTTTTTCTGAACTTCCGGCGACGTCGGCTGGTGCGGTACCGTCGGACCTGGTTCAGAAGGACAGAGCTCCGCCGTGTTCACAGCTTTGTCCCTGTACGAATTGAGGACCACGTATTTCCCGTCGCAGATGTCCGCTCGGACCATTCCGGGCCTCGGCGGCCCCTGTACCTCTGCTCGCATGGAATCTGGAATGTCCGTCATCGAATATATCTCCGCGATGACGCTCACCTCGTCGGTCTCGACGTTCGATTCGATCGAAGCATCTCTAGATGTGGTCGATTGACAGTACTCCGATTCAGACGTTATGCCAGTCTTGCTGTCTTTCATTAGGGCTGCCCTTCCCAGGGCTGAGCAATCCGAGTCGCAATCAATCATTGTGGTCGGTTTTAGTAGTTTTATGAAGTTTTTCATCCGACGTAGACTCTACTTTATTCGTGAATAAGAATGTGTGGAAGAATAGTTAAAAAATTCATACATATGTAACGCAGAAATGTTTTCGTATTTCCGTTTTACCTGCTGTATTCTAGAAGTCATTTTTGGTTTGCGGGTACAGGCTACGTTACTTCTTAACAACGTCTTTTTTTTATAGATCGTTTAAGTAACCATTTTTTGAAAGCGGAATCGCATTATTCCAAATTTTGTTTTCCATTTGTGAAAGGGAAATTTGGACAAATTGCAGTTGCAAGTATTTTTCTTTGTTTTTAGTAATCTTTATTAATTAATTATAAATATTGAGAGTCACACTGTCGATTTAGAACGCGGATTGTATTTTTTTAGGGAGGAATGGAGTCGTGAGGTTATGAGATGTACGTGTACATAATGAACTTAGGTGCGTTTGCAGCTTTATTTACATTTACATAATGAATACAGGAATTTGTATAGCCTTCTATTGTCACGATGTTTCCGAGTACTTCTTCGATACTGTAAAGCCAGATTTACACTATACGTTACATCATTGCATGTGGTCCTAATGAATGTATAAAGAAACTTTGTGATGTCCTACCTTCCAAAAGTTCTCTACTTTCACTGTGGTATCCGGGGTTTTAGCCTTCCGCAAGGTCCACTACAGGCATCGTAACCCGGTCCTGAAATCCAATGTAGTGCAATTTATTTTTTATATCATGAAAATTCAGTCAGTCAACAGTTTTATGTAGGTAGTAAGAAACGCTAGTTTTTAACAACTGCCTGTATATACAACACGAAAGAAATTCAAAATGTCGAATTTACATGTATATAAGGGTACGCGGTGCCCGACGGCAATGCTGCCGCCTGACGGGCTTCAAACTTGCCTTCGGGCCGCTACCGCGCCCCTTGATAAAGCGTTTTCGTCCATGTGTGTACCTTTTTGATCCACTTCTTATTAGAAATTAGAACACTGGTGCTGATCGTTTCAGACACCATATATATGTATACATATCTCGCTAAATGAGTTCCAAAAACTTAGCGCTTCCTCTCTACGTGTCCGACACGTTAATCGACTTAGAAATATTACTAATTGGCTGCACAGGATCGTCTGCGTGGCGGGGTCTCTCCCTCTCGTCGGATAAATAGTTCATGTCGTCTAGCAGCTCTCTACTCGGAGTTTCTGTAGGTCTATAGGCCCATTGCGGAGCCATAGCAGGGGCGGGATGTCCTACTGCCCTTTGCTGATCGTACGGCGAGTAGTCATCCGGCTGAGGCTGCATCCCCGGCGCCTGTGCAGAATATTCAATCTCAGCATTTCGTTTTACCATTAATTCCCGCTCCTCCGATGTAACTGTACGATCGAGAATATTCACGCGAAAACTGTCCGTTCATTAGTTACGGAAGAAACGAGTACGTACTTCGGTTTCCATTGGTTCTGTCGGTAGTTGTTGAAACGGAGGCGGCGGCGGCGGCGGCGGCGGTGGCGGCGGCGGCGGCGGTGGCGGCGGCGGCGGCGGCGTTTGTAGGTGCGGTTGTTGTTGATCATCGAGATTCGCTTGCAATTTGATGCTCATCAACACTTGACGCTTTCTATTCCCGATTTGAAACTCGGATAAAATCTGGGTCAGAATCGTGTTTGACGTCTGCATCTGCACGCTGACGTGCATCCGCCTTCCATTGATTTCTTTGCTGAACTCGAACGGTCCACCTGGAAGTGAACGGTCTAGATCCTGCGGCATATCCGGCATCGGTTGCAACGCTGTAGTGTCTGCGATAGGGGCATCTGTTGGGGCAGCTTCAGGAGCAGTAGCGATTGGCGGGGCAGCAGGAACCGGTGAAGAAGTTGCGGCCGGTCGCGACGTAGAGGGACTAATATCTTCCTGGGAAGGGGAAGATACGATGGGACTATCTGACGTGTCTCCTTCAGGATCCTGAGGTCCAGCATCGTCCGCCTGGTCATCCATTGTGACTGCTGCGGATGGATCATCGGGTCTGAGGGCGTCGATATCACTGAGATCGTCCACATCAGCGTCTCTATCGTCTCCATCACCCCTAACTTCGTCTGCACCATCGTCCCTAGCTTCATCCGGAACATCTTCCCTAGCTTCGTCCGCAATATCGTCCGGGATATCATCTCCTTCGTACGTAGGCAAACTGACAAAGCTGTCAGTTTGCGCGGGTGGTGGTGCAGGAGGTGGAATACCAGCTAGTATGGCAGAAGGTGGCCTGGCAGGAGTTACAGAAGGTGGCCTCGCAGGAGTTACAGAAGGTGGCCTGGCAGGAGTTGCAGAAGGTTGCCTGGCAGGAGTTGCAGAAGGTTGCCTGGCAGGAGGAGGCACCGATGGAACTCTTTGAACATCGGGTACTCTGGTCCTCGATGGTCTTAGTATGTCCGCAGGGTCTCTAACGCACACATCTGCGACAGGACGTGCGGGCTGAACACGGTCTATTTTCTCTACCCGTGAAGGTAGTCTGTCCGTTTGTCTAGCCGGTCGTGTAGGAACTGACGTTAATGGTTGCCCAAGTCGAGCCGCGGATGGTCCTGGCCTCGGCCTGCAAGTGCACGGATCCGTTCGGCTAGGTATCTGTCTGGGATCTATTCCGCTTACTGGCGGACTTTCTCTGATGAGCATACATTGTACCCCTCTGCCTACTGCTGGCCGTTGAGCAGCTGTTAGGACTCTGTCCGGCTTCGTTACTTGTTTTTTAGCTGGTCTGCTTACATCGTGCCGTATTCTTGAAGGGGCTTCCGCAACCGTGGATCTTGCAGTTGTAGAAGACTGTTTTCTTGGCGCTCTCTGAAGAGCTAATCTCTTTATCACTTTCGATTCCTCTTTCCGTGGAAGAGGATGCAACGTGGTGCCTATTTCTTGTATCACTGGACTCTCTTGTTCTTGCATTGCCAGCGGCATCGCATCAGGATACATTCCTAAACGTTGTATAGCTTTCACTCGTTTCTCATAGGTCATACTCTCCTGGACGTAAGGAGCCGACGGTTCGACTCGGGCTCGAATCGCGTTCGCCTGAACACTGACATCTATGTGTACGGTGGCCCTTTCGATTTGATCGTCGTGGATTTCGAACGGTTGCATTTGTGGTTCCGCTATTGCTTGCTGACTATTAGCTGGGTTCGACTGTGTCGCTGGGTTCGACTGTGCCATTGGGGCTGGGTTTGCCATCGGGGATAGATTTTGATTTTTACTGGCGCGTTTGCCGGTCACTTTCTTCTTCTGATTAGTCTCACCTCCGCCCCGTTTACGAAAGCTATTGTGCGGAAGGTGTCGCAAATTTTTCGAGCGAGGGCGAGAGCGGCAATCCTTTTTCGATATTACCTCTGCATGGACAATGGGCTTCCAACAATCATCTGGGAATGAAAGTGCCGAACTTTGTAAGAAACTAATTACTAGGATGTATCAAAAACTTTAACACTAAACTTATCATGCACCGGTCGAATGAGCGGTTTTAAATTCTTCTATAAGAAATAAAGAGAAAACGAAGTTTGTACTGTCATCTTGTCGAAGTTGTAATTATTATTTGAGCTGCAGTCTAAACGAAATTCCACTCAAATGTAAAAGACATAAGTGTAGTATATTAGTGAAGAAAAGCTGTCGATAGATTTAATGTTACGTTGAAAGTTATAATTGAAGGTATGGAATGTTACGTAAAAGAGGAAAGTGGTATTTATTTCATCTTACAGTTACAAATTAGTGTATCGTGATTATTTCACCGTGTAATTTAACCCTCACACTGCATCCCTGGATGATTCGCGTCCGTGATTTCGTCCTTTTCTTGGAACTGCAACGTGCGGTTACAAATTCCTTTCTCTACGTGTACCCTAAAAAAAATTTGCCAACTGAGGAGACCACAAAGTGTCATCACGATGTTCACACTCGGTATAGTAAAAACGAAAAAAGAAATTAACGGACCACGCGGAGAACACCGGACACGGAATATGTCTTTTTTACGTGCAGTGTGAGGGTGTTAAAATATAGTTGAACTTGTAAACGTACTTTGACAAAGGGGCATTTGACAGTTTGGTAGTCCAGCGATATTTTCATAGCAGACATTTCTGCAGCAATGTACGTCGCACTTGTTCGCTTTGTGCGTGATCATCTCTTTCCAGCATTGTCCTCCGTACAAGCAGTCATTGTACGGTTCCGATTGATTGCACTGATCAGCACACGTGACGTTATTCGCGCAGTCGTTCGTGCACGTGCCGCACGTGAAACGTTCGCGTTCCTTGCTGGCGCATGTCTTCGATCGTTTCAGTTTCGAAGATTGTTTCACGATCTGACCGATACTCGTCGTCGCCACTTTCATGAAACTTTTGTACGTGTCCTGCAGCTGTGACCAGATCTTCCCCCTTCGAATGTCATCCAATAGCGAATAATCGATCGCCTCGCATTGCTGGCTGCAACCCGTCATCTTTTTGTTCAGGTACATAGAGCTGTCTGTTTGTGCTCTACAGACAAGAGTATTTAAATACATTAATTAAGTTTTAATTCTGGCCTCCCGCCCCCTTCCCATCCTTTCAAGCCCCGGAAAAAGTTTTCGCTTGATTTTCAGTAGTGTAATGTTCAGTAGAATATCTTAAGTGGGAATCGACCTTCAAGAGTATGCGAAATGTTGATAAAATTTTTACCTGCAATCTCGCATATCCTGAAAGCATACAGTGGACCGCGTGGTCCTCGCCATTTCGGCGCAAAAAGGTTCTCGGTGCATTTGTTCCGTACAATCGTGCGTGTCAATGGTCGCAATTCTATCGGAACAGCTACGGGCCACTGCACCCGGTCGACCTTTGCAATCCAGATTACATTTCGGGCCGCTTCTCTTCAGTTTGCTCCTCAGCGAGTCCGATTTGTTCCTTTTCACGCGATCCTTTCGCCGGTCGTCTTTCAACGATTCCGTCGAATCCTCGCATCGGATTGTTTGACCGGATGCGAGCTTGCAGACGTCAGCGACACTCTCGCCGATTTCTACGAACAAGCTGGCCTTCGATGGCGTGCACTTTCTCGAACAGAACGAGCATGCGGAATGATTTGCTTTCGCGCAGTTCTCCAGTTTCGCGAAGTGCACGCGTTGCAGACACTGTTTGCTGGACGTATCAGTGGCGAGGAAATCGCATTTCGGTTCGCTCGAGCAACAGTTACCAGCTTCGGAATAGGTAGAGCAAGATCGTCGGCGACGCACGCTCATGTTCGATGAATACACTTTCATGTCGCGCGTGCAGCAACACTCCTCGAAACAGGAGTTCCTCGAATCAAAATCGGTGTTCTGCCAGCTCTGATATGCGCCGCAGTCGTCGTCCTGTATCTCCATGATGTATGGCTCACAGTTACCGCAACAGTTCTCGAAGGTGCAGCGGTAGTTGGCTTCACCGCATCTGTGTACGTTTCATTGAAATGTTCATTATGCTATCAATGCTTGCAATATACCTTTAGTATGAATAGATTTTGTGATTTAATTGTATATCCTAACTGATGAATTTGAACGCATCAATTGAACAAAACTGTTTACAGTACTCTTCGTTTGAATAACTTCGGGTAAAAATTGATATATAAGCTTACGTCATAGAAAGGAATTTTTTTTCAAATTCTTGTTTACTAGTTTAATCCGTTTGCATTATAAATCAGGAAAAGACATTAGTTTACATTGATGTACAAACTTCAAAAAGACGTTGTTGTTGGAAATATAACAGGCTTCTGGCTTCCACGTGAATAGCCTCAAGTGTTTAGTCACAGTTAGTCAATGCTTTGCGATAGATCAAAGAATAAATATTTAGGAAAATTCTACATTTCATCATTTCCGTATCTAAATTATATATATTTACATATCAATGTTATTTTACTCATATTATATGTATACAATTCCATATAAAAATATGGACTATTCGAAGCTGTCCAAGCGAACAGTATTGTATCTAAATAGATATGTACAGCACAATGAAGTCGACAGAAAGTGTTTAAAGAGTGCAAAATGCTGTGCTTCATCGGAAAGATGAATAGACAATATTTGTAAGCCATCATATTTGTTCCTATTAGTCTGTTAGGTGTCTTTACGTGAGATACCTGCTTGCTTGTTTCTTAGATTTCTTCGACCTGTTCGACGGGGAAAAGAATCTTCTACGTTTGGTTTCACTCTTTGGATTGCTTCTAAGGGATGGGAAATATAATACTTCAATAATAATACACGAACTAAGGAAAGGAAGTAGGATTACGAGGAAATAAAAAATTAAAAAATTGTTAAACACTCGTTGAAAATGTTATTATTGCATACATATCGTTTTATTTCTATTTTGAAGTACTCACGAGTCAAAGCAGCGTTTGAACGAAACGCTGTACATCGGTTTTTCCACCTCGAGGTTCTCGCAGGGTATCTCCTGCCGAGAAACGACGCTGATGTTGATTCCGCTTTTGCAGTTTCTGTTGGGATCATTAGTACGCTTCGCGTCGTATCTGCTCGCTGGGCATTCGTCCCCGTAATTATGTTGCCAAATATTTTCCCCGGTGCAATTGGCCACGTTCCCATCGGGATAGTTCACCTGACAAACCAGGTCTTTCGCCTGCTCACACATTTTCGTTTCCCAATTTTCTCTTCGTAGGCTGGCCTTCCGACACGGACGTTTCCCGTTCTCATTGGGATTCGCGGAATCGCCGTTTCTCACTGAGTCGTTCGACCCTCTCGAGGGGAGCTCCCGATTCTCTTCCCTCTCGTTTCCCGTGCTCGAATTTTTCTCGTCCGCCGTATCTGGTTGCGATTTTTCCGATCGATCGCGTTGCTCGACTCCGACTACGACGTTCTCGTTCAAATCCATGAAATCGTGCAGACCCGCTGCAAATCTATTCCCGCACGTTCGCGTTTATTTCGAGCGAGCAGGCGATTATCGAACGGTCGAACAATCATAGTGCGTTACCGGTATCACCGAGCTGGGCCGAAGAGCGTGCAAAAATGGTCGATTAGTTCCGAAACGTATGAATTGGAGATGTTTGAATTCCAGGGAATGCTTGCAGCAGAAATACTACTGACGGACTACACTGATCAGTTTAACACTCTTATTGCATTATAGTTTAACCACCGTGAATTGTGCTACCACGGCGCGATTAATATCTTGGTTCGTTGCGTCTAGTGAAACGTATGACATCTTCTGAAAACGATTCCTCATTTTATTGAATGAGCCGTATTGTCTCGATGATGAAAGTGTGATCTATGAAGCGAACAGTAATGATTTCCATTGAGTGAATAAATGGCTATTGCAAACTCCGAGGACCACTGATTCTGCGAATTAATTCATAACTGCTATCGTTCATTCAACAATTGTTACGTAGATACAACCTGTCTCAACCATTCATCCCTTCAATTCAATCAATGCACTCAAGGTAAACGCATCAGTCGTTTAAAAAATAATCTAAATATCTCAATAGAAATTCTGATGATCGTGACAAGGAATTAATACGAGTATCCTCGATGCTGCGATTGGGCGAATGAATTGGGATTTCGAATAATCCAGTTATACCAAAGGTTTAGCGGCAACGGTCGTATCACATTTTCGAGCGACGGTGACTTTCGGAAGCGGCGTAGAGGTGTCCCGTTTACTTTGGAACTTGTAAAATTTGGAATTTTCCAGGGTTAGTTGTCATTGCCGAATCGAGAGGGTGGAGGGCCGGAAGTTTGGTTATGAGAGGTCGGGAAACATTCGCGACTGTTATCGCGCGGCGCAGTTATCGCGCGGAGTATATTTTTACGCTCGCTCGCGACTCAGCGCCGTTCGATCACGGAACATTCATGGTACATCGAAAACAAACGCCTGCCCGCGCATCCACGTCGCGTCGCCCAGAAAGAATATATTCCATATTTTTATAGTACGTTCGATAAATATTTTCTATCTCGATCCATCCACGGACTTAACAGAAGGATTCTATGAATATTTGTCAAATAAGTATTGCCAACATCATGCGCTCACTGCGATGTCCGTGTATCGCATGTCGCGTGATATGAATACGTCATATGTACGTACATGTCGCGTAGTAATTTTAGCCTTTTGCTAACATTACGTATTTTAAAGTAATAAAAAACAATAGGAATGGAAAGGATGCTGGAAAGGAGGAAGAGATTTGATTTTAAATAAAAAGAACCATTGATTTGGGGGTGAACCCCAAGGGAAAAAGATCTTACGGCCAAAAACCTCGAATAACACTTTATGAACAATCAGAATACTTATTATCATGAGTCATCGTATTTGTGATAAGGCATCGGAATGCGCTCACTTTTGTTTAGTGGGATACTGGATCGAACTCAATCTCTAAACTGTACGTCTACGACAGTTAGTGGTACATGTACACAGGTTGCACACGGCCGTGTATGTGTATTCGACGCGTGGGAGCGCCTGGCGCGTTCGCGCGTATCCACGTCTAGGCAGCGCATGCACCAGAAAGGGAGAACCTAATCTGTGGCAATAATAGTTTACGTACAATACCTTCACGTATGATGTTGAATCGACACTAATAATCGCAAGTGTACGTCTACATTTTACACTGAATCACTACTTTATAATTATACATATAACTGGCTTCTGGGTTCCAGATGAATAGTCTCAAGTGTTTAGTCACACTTAATCGATGCTTTGCAATAGATTGGAGAAGAAATATTTACAGCAATTCTACATTTCATTATTATACATACATAAGTAATGTATATTTACATATCTATGTTATTTTATTCATGTTACATACAATTTTCTACGAAAAAGTAATATGGCCTATTGGAGGCTATCCAAGTGAACAGCATTGGATGTCGAGATCAGTGGTCAAACATGTGTCGATACTGTCGATACCACGGTCGTATACAATCTGAACCACGATCTTATAGAATCGTGATGTGATCTGAACCAATGTCTAACCTAGACCCTTGGAATCTCTCTATTAATAATGAAACTCTTCAGTCCATTAAGTTATATGGTTTTTGTGCCGCGAAAGGTGCTCGGCCTGTCGAAGATGTCCATGTTGGAGTATCTGCAATTTCGAAATCCCAATCAAAGCGAAGATCAAATATTGTCGAAGATGAAGGAACAAGGCTTGGACTCGGAGAAGCTGCTCGCCGAGCATCAACAGCAGATTGCCTGCGAGCAAAATCTGGCAACGGTTCTCAAGAAGCTCGACATCGGCTTTCGTATCACGAAAAGGTAACGCGAAAGAGTTATCGCGTAATAAACTTTAACCGCTCGAAAGAACAGCTGCACTCTACAACAAGTATGTAAGAAGGCAATGAAACGAAATGTACTTTCACTTTACGTTATGCGTATTCTTCTCTCTCGTGCAACTTATAAATGAACGACGACGTTTTTCGTTAATACGAGTTTTCGTTTAACGAGTGTTTTTCGTTAATAATTCAAAAACCATTGCTCACTTTGCATTTTACCAAAGGAAATTGTTGTTCAGAAACACCTCCAGAATCACCCCTTTTCGGCTCTAACACTTTTTCTGGGACACCCTGTACATAATAATTAATGCGGACGAAGCCGCGACGAGAGGGGGGAGGATCTAGCGTTCTACGTAAATAAAGATTCTTCAATTCTTTTTTAATTCTGAACATGTACTTATTACATTTTGTTCACTTCACGTTGAACAGTTACATTTTGCTACGTAGGATGGTAGACGCGTCGAAATGCGTAGAATGGGCGGATCTGGTGATTCCAATCGGCGGCGATGGTACATTTCTCTTAGCTTCAAAATTGATTACGGACAACCAGAAGCCGGTGTTGGGCATAAATCCGAACACCTCGAAGAAAAGTATTTTCACAATCCCGCCGAAGTACACAGTGGATATCGATGTAATATTTGATAAGCTTCGCACGGGAAACTACAAGCTATTGATGCGGAGTCGCATACGGACGGTAATGAACGGGACAGGTCTTTACAGACGACCTTTTCACATACACGAGAAGAGCCGCACGTACGGAGAAAGGAGAGCCGAGTAGGTGTACCTTGCAGATACAGTTATCCTCTCTGATACAAGCTAGTTCTACATCCTCGTCGAAAATCAATATGCGCATTTTTATTCGGTGCTTCAAAGGTACAATGACTATAATAGAGAAAAATTTCACCCTCATCCTTTCCTTCGGTTTTAGATATTTTAATTTACTATCAACTATACACACAGCACTATTCTTGGTAAGAAAGCTTTCTGTTCAGTTTAACGCATGACATAAAATTGATTAGGCAAAATGATAAACAGTTTAGAGCTTGCGATGAAAAATGCTACGTGCTATACCTGAGCAGGAATGCCAGAATGTAGGATTTCTCCTCTTCCCGAACTCTCCCCATCACTGTATGCTGCTGTATGCTCAATGTCTTCTCCCCACTTACATATGGCATTATTAGACATGTCCCCAATGATCATGGATAACGTAAGTGGGGGCAAAAACAAGTAGTGGGGGACAGCTTGGGAAGGGGAGAAATCCTACATTCTGGCATTCCTGTACCTGAGTTCCCGAGAGTCTAGGAGCGTTTCGTGCAGCTTGGAAGGTGGTGGGGGGTCGCAGCGAATCCCCTCCACACGGATCAGTATACACGGTAAAGCATTGACAATGAGATGCGCAGAACGATCAAAAACTGAACTGTACCCGCTCCTAGACTCTCGGAAACTCAGGTATAGATAGTTACATACGTACATGTACATGTAGTGGGTGCCCCAGAGTGCATGACTTTTCTCTAAGGGTATGAAAGAAAGTGAAATTCTTAGCCAAAAGTTCCTTTTCCACCAGGCCCTGTAATTGCGCTTAAATTTATTCTCATCTAATGAAATTAAACAGATCACTTATTATCCAGTCAATTAATCATTATTTTTGATAAGGAAAAACGTAAAATATCGATTAAAAAATATCACAAAGTGGAAGGATCTCGCGTCAGTGCACGGCAGTACATGACACTATAACAATTGTGGACGGCACGCCAATGGCTCACTTTTCTCGTTAATTATACTTTGTTAATAATAATGGGAGGGAAAAATGAAAGAGAAACTTCTAACTCTGAATTTCACTCTTCTTCATATTCTTAAAGGAACGTCGTGCATATTGGGAGATCCTGTATAAATTGAATTGAAAAAATTGAATACTTTTGATTTGTTTAACCCTTTGCACTCCGAACGATTCTGGACGTTGGCTATCAGCTACTCAGCCCCACTTTACGGCAGAAACGAACATTTACAGACCCTCGTATTATTTACTATAATTTTGGAAATAAGTAACGTATTATAATGATATTGGACTTATATGAATTGGTTGAAATCGAGGAAAGTATATTTGCAACAAAATCAATATTTTATTGTTTATAATTTTGTACAGTATGATAAGTTTTGAAACACTCCCCAATATGCATTGCTGGCTGATTAGTACATGTTTGACAATAATAAGTTGTTTGACGCCTGCCACCAGATGTTTTGCTGTTAGAACACACAATGCAGTCCCGTTTTCTTTGTCCCACATCGGGAATATGTAGTTTATTGTTTAATCTATTTCAGAAACAAGATGTGGATGGACGCGTTCTCGATACACGCTGACATTTCTTGTATATATCTTAGTACTTTTACGATATTTTGATTTGATTTCTTGTGCCATTTCAAGATAAAACTTCAGGAAAACATGCATGTCTCAAAAAGTTGCGCTGAAATAACTCAATTCCCCGTAATCACTAATAAACTTGAATGTCCCCTGAGAGAGGACATCCGAGTGATGTGCTAGAATTACGATGTCCCCTGAAAGGGGACAGCGGAGTGCAAAGGGTTAATTTTGTAAACATTTCTATACCTGAGTTCCCGAGAGTCTAGGAGCGGGCACAGTTCAGTTTTTGATCGTTCTGCGCATCTCAATACTTTACCGTGTATACTGTACCGTGTGGAGAGGGTCCGTTGCGACCCACACCACCTTCCAAGCTGCGTGTAACGCTCCTAGACTCTCGGGAACTCAGGTATAGTCAAGTTTCCATTATTTCGTACGGTTGAAAACTTCTTATCAAGTATAGTATACCTATTTCATTACAAAACATTTTCACTGCTTACATTCATTGTTTTCTTCTTTCTAATAAACACAACCGTGATTAAATTCATTGACTGATATCTCAATTATAATTTGAGTCATTGCACATACCTATATGTAGAATGAACATCAACGTTTATATTTTTTTGGCAATTGCTCATCCGAAATTGCACTGGAAGAAATGATAAAACAGCGAGGACAAAGTGTCTCTTCTCCCATGGAATGACTCGTTTAAAACGAAGTACTTTCTACGGGCAATCTACTCTCTTAAGTCTTAAGTTTTAAGGAAGCCATACGTATCGCTGATTCCGCGTTTTCATAAAGGCTCGTAATGCATCTTCATTTCCCGGCGTGCCGGGGACCTTCCGAGTAGTTTCAAGTTAGCCTCCCGTGAGCGGAAACTTGGGCAGTTATAACTTGTAAATTATAATAACAGGGTGGTTATGGCTTATGGGAAGAAGTCGTAGCCTGTTAATTGTGCACAACAGGAATTTTATGAGGATTTTATGAGTGAAAAGAAAGAAGAAATAAATAGATACAAATTAAAAACGAAGTTTAATGTGTAAACGAAGCTTCTCAATTATTCCATTCGTTTATTGATATATTGGCTAAGCTTACTTTAACCTAATTACACGATCGCTATTCCCTTCCTCTAACTACATCGAGAGTTTGTCATTAATGTCAATCTTCATTATTCTTCGTTAAGACACACTATTCCTCCCATCGTTCGCTCTTCGTTAACATCGTTAAAACTGAACAAACTCCTGTTTCTTGTAGCATAGTACTTTACCTCATTCTCTGCTATTTCCGGAGGAATGGATAAAAAGTAAAACGAATGTAAAACACTTGGAAACGTTTATCAATTCCATTAACCAGTTTCATTAAAACTAATTAAACTCTCAGGGCTCTGAACCCATCGACGCAAAGGAAAATAGCGGACGCTCTTCAGCCCCGTCAAAGGATTTTACCTTGGTTGGCGTTGAACGAAGTTAGTTAATACCTATCGCCCAATGATAGAACGTGCAAACGGTCAATCGTTTCGCATGACGATTTAGGTGTTCATGGGAGAGTTTTTAGCAGCCCGGCCGATATCTTTGATCGTGCAAGTCAACAATCAGAAATACCATGTTCGGAGTTCAGGTATATGCGTTTGCACCGGGTCCGGTTCCCATGGCTGGTTCAAATCCATGAACTATCAATCGGCCGAAACTGTTCGAAACATCTTCGAGATAGCTACCGGCAAGAAATTAAGCCCCGAGGAAACCGATGAATTACTACGCAAATACCACGAATCTCTATCATACCCCGTAGGTACATAACTAAAACGTATTTAACTATGCATATAATGAAGCAACAAAATAGTATAAAGAGGGAACTGAGAATTCAAACGATACAGTGTTGTAACTTGATCGGTGAGATTTTTATTGAACAAAAATATAATTAGTCTCTATTAAGGATTCTGTTTCTATTTTTATTCTACATCATTGTCACAGTTAGATTTCGAGGTGTTTGGTTGGTAGTAAGAAAAATTTTCAAGAATAATTCTAGGAACCAAAATAAAACAAGAATAGAGAATAAAACGATTGGTGTTGAAACTCCAGTTGCATTGTAATTGTAAGCTATTAAAAATTACTCCTTGTGGTTGTGTTTTTCAAATACAACGTGTATCTTGTACCTTGTTAACACCTACCATGACAATGAAAACCACTGCCGTCAAAAGTAAGTTTTAATAGCTTTCATAAATCTTCTAAATTCCTAATTTTAATCATACATATTTTGGCTTCTACAGCCAATTCTTAAGGTTTTTACCAACAATATTAGTCAACCAGTCTGTATAATTACTTTTCAATTAACTTTCAATTCAGAATTTAAACTGAATGTGGATTTATGATTATTTATTTTTTTCTTATAATGGTAATTGCTCTGCCTGAAATGATTATTAACGTTATAAACAGTGTCCAGTAATGTCTGTTCCGATTCTTCACAGAAGACTTACAAATGACGCTTAAAATACGCGAAATGTACTTGGCGACACGATGCGTAAAAAACAAGTGTTGCCCAGACAAAGTGAAGTGTTTTACACTTACTGTGATATCGCGTGGCTTCGATGCAGCCCTAGTAATAGACGGGTCCATTTCCATACCCTTCAACGACGGCACATTGGCCTCGTTCGAGATCAAACCTGAGTATGCTTTAAAAAATATCGTTCTGACTTAACGTATGTACATCATACAATTCTTTAGAGTATAGAAATAAATGTCTTTTCAAATAATTCACATGAATAGGTAGCAAGCATCAATAAATTTTATAAAATAAGTCATACGAGTCTGTCTTCACTTTCAAATAATGTATCTTTAAAAAAAATAATTAAGGTAATTTACTGGTTAATTTAATTTAGTTTGTTGATAATAAATGTTGCGTTCTATATTTATTTTCTTTTGCTACTAATATTATGGGACAAATTTAAGGATGTATTGGCTATACAGTCAATCTCAAAAGTTTATGTACCTTAGAAAAAAGCATTTCGTATAATTAAAAAGAAATTAGACGTCGGAAGAATAATGCTAATAATAAATAGCTACGTGCTAAAAAGTATAGAAGGAAATATCAAATTAAGTATTGACGCTAACGAAAATTTTTTTTTCAAAATTTTGCAAAAAGCTTCGAATAAAAGTTGTTTTTCTTTTAATTTCGATATTTAACGAGTTATGTATGATTATTTGGCATTTTATTGATGTTGACAAAATCCGACCATCCCAGCGTCGAAATGGTGAACTTTTGACAAAAAATTTCGTTTTTCCTCAATTGCTCCTAAACCCTTGGTCCTACGGGAAAATTACATACGACCTTTCTTGTAGATTTCGACGAGAGTTACAATTTCTGTACAAAAAGTTTTCGCTAGCATTAATAGTTTACGACTTATTGACGAAAAACGAAAAAACAGTTTTTTGCAAATTACTCGTTAACTATTGGCTCTAGCAAGAAACTTTTATACAGAAATTGTCGATCTCGTCGTCCTCTACAAGAAAGATCCTATACAATTTTTTCGTAAGTCCAGCGGTTTTCCCCTTGCGGTACTCCTTGGAAAAATCTCGGAAAAATCGAAAATTTTTGTTGTTGTTTATTATTTGCGATGTTCTTCCGACGTCTGATTTCTTTTTAAAAAATGCGTTTCTAAAGTGCATAAACTTTTGGGATTGACTGTGTAGCCAATACATCCTTAATTCATCAATTGCTACTATCATTATGGGACGGAGGGAGTACATGATACATAATTATTACATTTATTCGTCAAAAATATCTTTAAGATATCTTTAATATCTACAAGATGGTCCTCTCAAGATTCGATTCCATCATAACGCAGCCGGATTTCTTATACCTCCGTTGGCGAAGAAACAGAGACAAAGTAACAAGTAATTGCGTGCATTTGTTCCGAAAATGAAGGTAGTTCCGAGCCAAAAGATAGGAGAGGCCGGTCATTCCGGCAGTGAAGGACAGCCTGCTCTTTTTCTATGATAAGAAGAGAATGGAGAAGGAGCGAAATACCTTTCCAGTTTCGTTTTCTGTTTCCTCGGAAGGAGAGCAGTCACGTCCAGACCTCCATTAACCCTGTAATTTCGGCTTCGGCCAAAACCGCAGACACCCGGACCTTTGAGATCAGGTGTTCGTACCAGTTGCATGTGTATGAATAAACATGCAGAGATACTAACACAATCTGCAATGTGTACAGAGTGGTTTGCTCGATTGCTGCCCTAGTCAAACCTGCGTTCTCTGGCTAAGAATTCTTAAGTTGAAATAATGATACTTTACAGCAATCAATTTTTTCCAATGTTAATATCTATAACAATAGACAATAAGACATAATATATTCCTTATATCCCTATAACAATAAACAATATGACATAATATATTCCTTTATCTATATGTATACTTGTTTGAATAGCTTTTACTCACCGCAGTACAGAATTGTAATAAAAAAAAGAAAGACACGATAAATATAGAAGATGAAAGGTAAATGAAATTGTGACAATATAAAGACTTTTGCTGCATTTTCTTCTACTCTCGTTTTATTATCGTCTTCTTCGTCAAGCCAGAAGATTACTTTTATTTACCGAGAACATTAAATTAATGACATTTAGGAGAAGTAAAGAACGAAAGTTAGTCGACTAACGAAACACCGTGTATACGTTTTACTGTGTACGTATTCGTTCGACTAAGTGCACTGTTTTCGTACTCCTTCTGGAGCGCAAATTGTAGGTGCTTGAGACACAGGATACCGAGGAAAACGCTCGCTACCGACATTTTCGGCTGGAGCACGTAAAGTAGCCATTATAAAAGAGCCGAAAGGGTGTAAAAGTCAGGCTTTACGTCCACGACCGGAGTACGCATCAGTAACTTTAGAGTTCTTGAAATTGAAGACAGAGGGAATGTTCTCGACAAAAATGGACGTATCACATTGATATTGGTATAGATATTACACGTTTCAACAGAGACGTATTGAAAATAATGTTAGTGTAAACTCGGAAAAATGTAATTTATAATGTGGATACAAGAAGCTGTGTGGGTGCATAGAACGACTTTCACTTTAGCAAATTTAAAAATTTTGGGAAATAGGGGTGGAATTGTTAACTTGGCAAAATTAGTTCCCAATCGAACGTCTGTGGGGACCAACGACCAGTCTCATTAATTCTCATGAAAGACCCAATCCGTGTAAGAACAATGGAGATCCGCCTCAGACGGACTCATCGAGGACAAACAAACGTACTGCCGATCAGGAACAACGAACGAACCCTTTGTACTTCGTAATTGAACACGACTGTCTATTCAACAGAAGTTTTAGATGCTTCCACCCTATAAAAGCTGGGCCAGACGAAAGCGAACCAAGAAATTCTGAAATAGCAAAATTTTATTAGTGCTCACTTACGCTCGAGGAATAATAAACGTTTGCTCAATATTAAATTTAGTTCCAAGTAATTTAATTTAGTGTCAACTCGATAAAACGTTTGGAACGTAATCTGAAAAATTGCCCTAACTCTTGCCAAAGTAGCCAATAGAAACGAAGAAACACGGGAACAGGATTATGGTTTTGAATGTATATTTAATTGGAACACATAATATAATATTCGAAGTTTGTTGAAGAGCGGATGAGAATGGTTTTAAAGTGCGCCCCGTTAATCGTCTTCCCCATTTACCTCGCCGACATTCCTGCGCCGCATTAATGAAGCAGTATCGTATCTCCCACATTTCCAGAACTTTCTAGAAACTCTAATAACTGAAACGGAATTTAATAAAGCATTGTACGAATAGCGTAATTGACATTTCGCATCCTATTTGCGTACGCCGTGCGAACATTCGACCCGACTGAACCATGCCCCTACTTACTGATTAATTCCACGATTCTCCCTTTTTGTTCCCTATTTTCCACTCTCCTTCATTCATGTTCATCGGTATATCTCTATCCTATTTTCACAAATGAATTCTTCAAATTCGTAAGCTGCCACTTATACCATATCCTCGTAACATATCATCATTTCATGCGTAAATACCCATATGCATAATACATACGTATACACAATACACTCCCATTCAATGAATGTCATTCATACTGATAGTAACATAATTCACTACTTACCTATATACATATTATTTAATCGAACGAGACTTTCAAAGAGCGTGAATGAGAATGAGCAGATGAAAGTTCGTTATACTTTAATAAATAAAAAAAGAATCTCATATATCAAATTTCAATTTATTAGAGTAATTTACAGAATAGAGCGCAGAAATCGGATCACCTAAATATTTAAGTCTATTTACTATTGTGCAAAGAAACTTCTAGGGACAAAGTTACATTGTTTCAAGGCACACATGCATTGATAAGTAGATTTCTTTCTTGTAATTAGTGTCATTATCTTACGAGACATCAAAGTCAGCAACTATTTTTTAAGTGAAATCCTATATCTATCTTTTGGTAGACATGTAGAACTTGAAGGGGCAAATTCAACGATCTAAATAACCATACCGTTCCCGTCGTGTAATCTTGTTCAGTCTTTCAATTGAAATAATCTCTGATAGTTACTAATTATCAGATTTTTATAAACAATGAATACTTGGAAATTATGTACGGAAGTGTACAATAATGCCTCGTTTTTGTATTTATAACGCAACGGTGATACGATTCAAGAGTATAATGCAAATTGATACACCCCTTTATATTCACTTTTTTCTATTCAATGTAGCAATTATTTTTCATTCGGTCCAATCGCATCCTCATTTCAATTTATGTTCTCAGCTTATCTGCTCAACATAACGATACCACCGAACGCAGTTAATGGACGTTCGAAACCACATAAATTCTTCATTGATAATCACCGTTGGCCGTTTTCTCTTATCCGGAGATTTACTTCCTTCGACTGCCGGACCGGTAATAGTGGTTCGCAAAATTTATTTGCGGAGTCGTGGTGAAACGTTAATTCGGAAGGATCGAGAGTGAGTCGGAGGATCATTGAGCGTGAGGAGGACGAAATAAAACGATTGTACCAGGAACGAATAGATAAGGGGAAATGAGAATAACCGTGGGACGAGGAAGAGTAGGTAGAAGGAGGAAACGGAGCACGCAGATAGAAACAAAGAATTGTTACACGAAACGAGAGAAGCGCGCTACGCGATACAAAACGGAAAGAACCAACGCACCGGAGATTTCGCTAATATCATTTCTCCAGGCAAATGGAAATTCTTTCCTCTTTAGCGTTTTAATTCACCTGTGCGTCTGTGTAATTTCGTTCACTCGTGTTCCGTTTCTTGTTTCGGAGGCCGCACAATGATGAATATAGTTGCCCGAGGGATAAAACGAAATTCGAACCACTGCTTCGTGCGTTGGAAACAAACGAATCTAGATACTTTTTCGTCTTCACAAATCAACGCTTTGTCCTTGCTTCTGTTTTATTTAATTATCACAGATACTCTTTGAACTTCATTTTATATAAACGTGTTGGAGCGCAGGATAGTATTTTAATTTAATTTCGTGAGAGAATATTTTTGTTTCAAAAGTGGACTTTAAAGCATCTGTGGATTTATACGTATAGTACACGTTGGGAGGGATAGTAAAAAGACAAACGACCGGAGGTAGATGATAGAGAGCCTCGGCTCATTTCCCTTTCGCCGCGCCCAATGAATTTTGTGGGCAAATCGTCGGAGGGAACCAACTGAAAGAGGCCAAA